TTTGGAAGCCTGGCGCCGCCACTATATATACAAAAGGTTAATTTAGTTAAATTTGCAACGTTTCGGACATTTTAAATGTCCGTCTTCAGGCGACAACTGTTGCAAAATGTCCGAAACGTTGCGAAATGAGAAATAAAAATAAGTAATAAATTTAAATAATATATATATATATATATATATATATATATATATATATATATATATATATATATATATATATATATATATATATATATATATATATATATATATATATATATATATATATATATATAATATAATATATATATATATATATATATATATATAATTGGGACTTTTGTCCTATTTCTGCCGCCAGTACGCTACTTATTGTAACGACAAATTATATCTAACATTAAACATGAGAGTAGACGCAGTGATCGTTACAGGATTGATTCAACATACCCTAGCTGTACGCATCATATTGGATGAAACGAGCATGAGAGTGCATTAAAGTCTGCAATCACGCGACCTTGGGTTAGCTATTCTCAGTTAATGCTTTCCCAACACTATTTTCTATAATCTATTTTATTTAAGTTAAAACATAGTTGAAACACTCATCAAATCTTAATTTTGTTATTCTAGAGCTTGAAATGTATAGGCCGTTCGCTGTGACCTCGAAAAGTGCCTATATATAGAAAACAATTTTCATTAAGCATGTCTTGGTATTTTTATGGGATCGAACTAACACTTTCGAACACGCTGAGTTGAAAGCCGAAAACTTCCCCACCCTGACCCGCAGTTTTCTCTGCTATTTTATCGTCACTAATTTCACGACAATGTTTTTCATTGTTCAACGATACGGATGAATGAAGACACACGATTGCATAACTCAAAATCATTAATTCCTGTGAACCAGGCTCCACATTGAACAAAAGACCGTTTTGCTTGGATCATTTTGAGTTATGTAATTTTAAGCGCGTTGGACGTAAACAACATATGTTGCCTACAACTTTGGGAAGGTACCAATATCGCTTTGTAAAATCTTCAGTTCTGAACTAAGGATTTTCGAAGGCGTTATCTGTACCTTCTCAAAGTTGTAGACAAGAAATATTGTTTATGTCCAACACGCATAAGATTACATAACTCAAAATGATTCGAGCAAGACCGGTCTTTACTTAATTGTTAAAAGGAAGACTTGTCAACAGAAATTGGTCGTTTTGAGTGATATACAGGGATGCCGGTGTCCCAGGATTTTCGCCTCCCCCCTACATTTTCACCCCCCAGGGGGGGGGGGGCGAAAATCCTAGGAATTTCGCCCCCCTTTAGGAAATTCGCCCCCCTTTAGAAACTTCACCTTTTCTTTAGGATTTTCGTCCTCCTTTCAAAATTTCGCCCTTCCTAACAGTTGCATGGGATAATTATTACATGGCTTTAATAATTTGAAATCAGTATGAATTCAAAATTGTTAAGACAGAGCTTAAAATAACAACCGATCAATGATCGGCAAGGAATTGCTTATGATCGGCGGAAAAGCAGGGTTTCGGTTTCCAACCTGAAAAAAGCAAGGAAAGTCACGACTGCCGATCACCATGATCGGGAACGTTGGGAACGTTATTTCAAGCCCTGCATGTAAGAATACAAATTTACAATTACATGTATCGAAAGGGCTTACACAGTTACAGTAGATCAATACTCAATAGGACTTATGACGCTTCACAGCACACCATGCATATTTTGCATTTTCAGTGTTAATCCTTAAACTCATTGTTAAAAAGTAATCACCGTGGTGGTTATTGTAATTATTTGTATTGTTTTGCATCCACGTTTTGTCGTTATCGGAAAATGTATGGCTTATAAGTTGTCACTATTTTTTACTTGCAATATTTCAATATAGAGTTTGTAAATCTCAGAAGCGAAGGGTAGAACTTGCCAGTAGGCAATACAAAAAAGCTTTTAGTTTTGCAGAGTTACATTCTCAAATGTTTAAGGCACTAATAAAATCAAAGTATCATGAAATTATTTGAATAAACCACACCACATATATAATGCAATTTTCTTTGCGGAAGTCAAGAATCAAGATTACATCGCTTGACACGGAAAGTTGACGATTCAACGGACAATAGTCAATACGTTTCCCAACACATTCCATAGATTTTTTATTAATCCTATTATAGTTTATTGTTAGCAAGTGATTACTGTGGCGGCTATTGTTAACACTGGCATTGATAAAATTTGCAAGCGATTGTTTTTATAATATGTTATGTGAATGTAAACTGCCAGAAGAATACGACAACATAACATGATTTTATGCGATCTCTGTGATGGTTCCACTTTAGATGTGTAGAATATGACACTAGTCTAAGTACCTCAAATGAGTGGTTATGCAGACTGTGCACACCACCAGCTGCTAAGAACCGTAAAATATGTATGTTATTTTGTCTCCTTGTAATAAATAAATAAATCACACAATAAATCTTTTCAACTTGCCATCGTTTTGTTTTTAGATCAAAAATTCAAAATTTATATGGGGGGGGGCGAAATTCCTAAAGGGGGCCGATATTCCTAGGAATATCGCCCCCCTTTTGAGAGGGGGGCGAAGCGAATCTCCTGTGACACCGGAACGATGTGAAGGCAAGGGGGCAGATTTTCGTGAAAGGGCACTTTTGAATTGATATATACTAAGAGTGTTTGCAAAACATCGGGAATTGAACTTCGCCTAATCATGTTTTCTATTTATTGGATGATAGGGGTGTGAGGGGGTTCTCTGCTAGGTGATTGTGCTATTCTTGAAGCTCAATGACTACATTTCTTGCGTTTTCTGAAGCAAATTCGTAAAAGAATTACACTAACATTTCTGACAATTCGCTATTTCGCCAAGGCAATCCTTTACATTGAAAGGGTTACCTTTGCCCCCTTTGCCCCTCCTGGTAAAGGGCAACGGGGGCGGCTGCCTCCCACCCCTCCTGCCCCCCAGTTCCGGCGTCCCTGGTGATATAATCGTGTGTCGTCATCGATCCATGTCGTTGAACAATGAAAACATTTGTGGTGAATTTAGCGAAGATAAAATAGCAGTTTGTGAGAAAAAACTGCGGGTCTCAAAGGCGCGGGAAGCGGCAGTTGTTGGATTTGAACTCAGCGTGCTTGAACGTGTTAGTTCCCGTAAAAATATTTCAGTTCCAAGACATGCTTAATGAAAGTGAACGATATCGGGACGCAGCAAACAGCCTAGTACCTTGTAATAATTTGTGACTGCCAACTCTCATCCTCATTTAACCTGGGCTTAAGATTGTTGCAGATAAATTGCATTTGACGTATTTCATATTCCATTTATTACGAATTTTCAGTCATTGAAACCCTACAATATCTGAAATAATCTGAGATATCAGTAGATCATGAGTATTGTATTTAAGACACTTACTCGCCCTGCCTTCTCCAGCATTATTTTTCGGATTTCTGTTGGAGCCTAAATTATAAAACAATATTTTGAATAGGATGAGTTGCTATAATTCGCTTGGCGCATACCCGCAATAATAGAGACCTTACGATTTAGGGCGGCAACGCGACGGCAACGGCTACCAATACAATACATAGATAATTGAAAAGAATTGAATAATTACAATATATGAATAATTTAGACATTGTTTTTCGCTCTGTTTACAACGCCAAATCACAGATTCCACGTCTTGATACAAGGCTGCATTTCAAGCCGCAACAAGTGCAACTTCAAACTGGGTTCAGTAGAACTCTTCCCAACCATAAAACCCATACCTTCAACTTCTAAGACAGTATTAATTTAAATTCACACGATTGATAATATACGACGAATTATCTTTACTACGATTTATTTGAAGGAGTTTGTTTTAGCCGTCGTCGTCGCGTTGCCGTCCTAAAATCGTAAGGTCTCTAATAATTACCAGAAATACATTGAAGACCAAGTCACTGCAGACCGTACTTCAACAGATTCATTATCGTTTTATTGTCAAGATTTTGTTGGCATCTCACTCGATTGAATAATAGTTGAAGGGTCTTCTACATGGAAATTATCGAATGGAAATTGATATACATTTATTAGACCTATCCAGGAACAACTGCGAAAAATGCAACTATATAGGTCCCTGGCAAGAATCGAACCTACGGCCCTGTGCGATTCCGGTGCAGCGCTCCGCATATTAGAGAGTTTGAGCAAGACAACGAAGTCGGACGACGATGACGTGGTTGACAATTTTTGCCTGTCTTGCACATTACCTTGCGCATTCTGAGTTTAGGGTCAGGAGTGAAGACAGATTAGAGATTCAGGTCTAGCTGTTTGTGAATGCTGACCCAAATGCTTACCCTGATCAGGATAAAACAGCGAGACATGAATCCATATCCCGGCTTCGTCTTCTGCCTTCATTCACAACGAATATTTTGGCAAAATTCGTTGTGAACTTCGTTGTGCACGAAGGCAGAAGGACAAAGACGGGATATAGTTTCATGTCTCGCCGTTTTTTTTTCTTGATCAGGGCAAGAATTATGGTCAGTCTTCATAAACAGCGACACATGGGAAGACACGTTGTGCAACCACCAGTGACGTCCAACTCAGTATGCGCAAGATAATGTACAGACGGCAAATATTGTCAAGTATGCCTTCGTCTTCGTACTTCGTTGTCTTTCTCAAACTCTCTATTTTAGAATCGCACGTTGGATTCCTGCCAGGTACCTGTAGTTGCATTTTTCGCACCTGCTCCTGGTTAGGTCTAATAAATGTATACAAATTTCCACTTGATAATGTCCTTCTACAAGACAACTATTATGCAATCGAGTGTGATGTCAACAAAATCTTGGTTTTCAAATGGTCTGGCATGAACCTGTTTTATTGAAAAATGTACTAACCTGCAAATTGTATATGAACAGAATGAGTAGATTTCATTGCCAAATTCTTGTGTGTAAAATCATATTCAACTGCAGGATAAGTTTCAACAATATTTCCTCGTTTTCCTCTTACATTGATGTTATGAATCACATGATCTTTGAAGGTGTCTTTTCTCGCCATGATTTTAAAAATATGAGAACGATCTTGGAAAGTACGACCAAACTGAGCTGTGTTGATGGCAAGTTGAAGTGGTACTTTGTTGTTGTCGCCTTTTCCAACATTGACATCTGGATCATTAGCAATTACTTCATCACTTTAAAAGTCAGATGAAAATTGTTAAAATAATACCTTGTTAATAAAATATGTTAATATTGACATCCTATGAGGGCAAAATGTGGCGTCATTCGCCAAATATGATTTAAAATTAATTCCAAATCTATTATTACGACAATTTATCTTCCGCCCGCATGCGGTGAAGCCACCTATAGAAGGCTGCATGCCTTGCGGGCTGGGCCAGTTATCTCCAGTGGGTTAAGCTTACCGCACACGAGTGAAACTTGCTGACCCGACTTTCTCGTGGCAAGCTCAGCTATGAATTTTCACCGCACACGTTGGGAAAACTACTCAACAAAAATATCGTTGATAAGATCGTTTGCATTTCCCTCCACTGTCGTCATTTTGACCAAAGTCACAAAGAAACTTTCGATTCTCATTGGATAGTTAATTGAAGCAGCTCAGCACTAAGCTCGCAACATCTCCAATCATCGAGACATTTTCATCTCCACAGAGCATAGACTACACAGCGGTCGGACTCCAGGTCGACGCCTATGATGTCAGAGTAACCAGATCGAGACCGTCACTTCCCAAAACATTCAAAAATGGCTACCTTTAGACGTTCGGAAGGGTGTGAATGTATCTCCTTACATCCAAGGACATTTTGTCGTGGTGTTACCATAGTCACCAGATTTAGCAATTCTCATGTCCAAATGATTCTAATTAGGAATACTCGTGTTCAAACGATCCTGATACACCCTTTCGATAATTACGACATTTTGGCCTGGGAGCCTTGCTCTCATGAATCGTGAGCCAATCACCTTGCGTAATTTACTAATAAGAGCGAGGCTCCAAGACCAAAAAGTATGTGTGACGTAATTATCGGAAAGGTGTATTAGCGATACCCATGTTGAATTAACGATATTTGAAAATTATAGTTGCTTGGTTGAAAAGGTTAAGTTGCTTGCATATAATTCTAGTTACGATTTTATTGCAGTAGATTGTAAAACATATACTTACTTGTTATTTGAATCAGCAAACGTATTTTTTACATCATAGTCATTTGTTGAGATATTATATCTAAGAATGTCAACAGGAAGAGAAAAAATCAATTTGTCTCGTAATTGTAAATAAATTAAATATTTTCGCACAATTTCAAGCGATTAAGCCGATATCGCTTCGTGTAAGCGTCTACCACTGATACTATGAAATATTATTTCAACAAACACTGTATATCTCATGAATATTCCAATAAAAAAGAGGGAAATCCTCTAAAGAGTCCAACCGAGCAAACCAAGCTTAAATTGAAGAATCAGGCTTGCGCGGGTTTGAAAGTATTGTTTTCAACGTTCGAAGAAATGCGTCCGCAGTATTTTAGACAGCGTGTACAAAATCACCGCAGATGTCCACGCAACAGAGTCACCCCAGATGTACACGAGTGAAAAAGCCGTTTCGGAAGAACAGATTGTTATAAAATGCGAAAAACGTTTGTTTTTGTGGTTTTCTTTAACGGCAATAACATGTACTCGGTATGAAATATAAACCCAATTCTTACGGAACTACGAAAGAATATCACAGTAAGTTTGTAGATATTTAGGATTACGCTTAGGATAGGATTACGCTCTAGAGACCTCCGCTTTATTTCAAGCATAAATCAGTATTTTTGAAACTTTTGAACCACATATTCTATTATATTAAAGCTAAAGACCTTGTGGTTCCATTTATCGTATTTTGGAATTGAATTTATATTGTGGTGTAAAGTTATTTTGGATCGTATTGTGTTCATTATTGTTGTGTCACATGCTGCGAAGCTGAACTTTTGGATATTGCTCGTTATCTTTGGCTTTATTTGTCGTATTCGTGTGTAACTTGCTACGTATTCTGCCAACGGTGTTATATCTTTCGCGTGTTAATTTAGTCTCATTTGGTTACCTTGTTCGTGTTTTATTAAACTATTATTATTTTGACCGTTGGTGCTTTAAATTTGAATTTGCCACGTCCCGTTCCTAGGCAACAACTTTACGGCAGCGTATCTTGGTTCTACGTATTTCAAAACATTTTTATACTTTGGATTTTTATTGTTTTTATCATCCGCTACATTTTGGTATAGTTTTTGACAACTTTGCCATTTGGAATAACATTTGACTATATATATATATATATATTGACTATATGTATGTATTGTCTCGTAGTTGACCTTTGACTTGGCTAATGCTCTCGTTTCCTATGTGGGGTTTTCCTAGCCTCCTCCGCAGGCATCGCCTTTCGATTATCGGGCAAAATTTCTTGCAGGCAAAAAAATTAATAGTGGCGATGCCTGCCAAAACCCGAAGACTTTGGACCAGCTATGTAACCCTTGTGGACCGGCTATGTTACCCCCACCCCCATGGGATTAATTGTTCATATCAAAACTACTACAAAATGTCAAAAGCTGTGTTACCCCTACTCCCATAGGATACGATATTTTTATATTCAGACACAATTCGAAAAAATATCGATCGAGCATATCATTTTTATGTTGCAAATTGAAACAAATATGAATGAAACATTGATTATTTTGCACTTACAACGGATGGCCGGTGTGACGCGAATTTCCTGACTTGCGAAATATCTGACTATTGTAGAACTGCCCATGCGCAGACGATGCGCATGAATGACTTTGGCTCATAAATTTCGCAACTGAACAGACAACACGTGTATTTATAAAGCCATTTTATTTATACATAAATTTTCCAACATTAATTCTACAATTGATCAACTGAATTGACACTATACCACTGATTGTGAACGTTATAATAAACCTTGAATCGCAGATAAGGAAAAATCACAATTCGCTTTGAAATTTAAAGTGTTTGTGATTGAAACTTAGCGATGTCGATTTGAAATATTTAACGAAGTATTAGAAATTAACATCATGATTATTTTATCTAAACTCTAAAAAACAGTTTTGGCCGACTTAGAATTTAGCAAGCGTCATGTATTTCGCGCCTGTACGCGCGAAATTTCTGACCCGTCACGCTAGGCATAGTTAATAGGTCAGGTATTTAGCAGAGGTCAGGAATTTCGCTTGACACCGGAATTTAACGAAATACAGATGGTCAAACCACGCCGAAACTATGTAAATCGTATCGAAAGACGAAGTGTGAAATGTGAATGGAATTTATAAGAATTTTTGCAACCGTTCAATTTATATTTGGTCTGTATCCTACA